GTCTGACGTCCTGTCCGCCATGGCCTGTCTCATGGAACGGACAAAGACTCAACAGCCGTCCTGTCTCACAGATCAGTGGATCGTCGGTCTATGAACCCTAGACCCTAAACCCTGGACCGACTTGCACTTCTGACACGAGAAACGTGTTCTGTGTGGAGTTTTCCTTAGGTCTACGTGACGGCCTATTTGTCGACATCTGCCGGCACAAAATCGCTTCTAGCGCAAGAACGAGAAGGCCAATCGGCCAGGTCTTTCGTTTGTTAAGTGCCCCAGAGGAAGCCCGAAAACATAGGCAGCTCGGATTTGTGAGAACGGGTCTGTGTGTGGCTGTGCGCCGAAATCGGTATTGTCTTGCGACATGCTCAAAAAGGTGGCGGTTTGTCAGAACCGCTCAGTTTGCTGTGAGAGGCTCTTGAGACTCTGAGTAGCCCTCCTCACTCCGCTGGTGAGGAGGGCCGCAGGCGGCCTCTTGCTCGTCTGACGATGGTTTTTGACTCGCTGTCTCACTGCAAATGCTACTGTGGGCTCAAAGGCAAGCCGTTCATGCCGCTCCGCAGCTTGTTTGCTTCGCTGCTTCTCTTGTGCTTGCTTGGCTTCACTTCAGCGGCCCCGATCTCGGCTGTTTGTGGTTGTTTGACGGTGAAATTTGGTTCACAGTAATCAGTGAGGCACGCTGACCACATGCAGGTCATTGCGACGGCTCACAATGAATGAATGTCACCGGCTTGAAAAATGCACAACAGAATGTACATCGGTTGAATGGGATTTTCCCATATAACGATTTTCCCATATAAGCAGGGTCCCATTTATCCGAGGCCCACTGTACACGCATGCTGCCATGCATGGCTCTTCTCTCTCTCTGGGAAAGCCCGTGGTGCACAAAGGCATGTGCAAGTGAGCATGTATGTGCATCCCACCGTGTTCTGCTGCTTTGGAGGTTGCTCTTATGTGCCCTCTCCTCCAGGGGGATGCACCACTTCCCCCTCCTTCGCCTCGCCTGACATGACGATGCTCACTCGCCACTGAAGGTCTCGCAGTTGATGAGCTGCTTACGGACCAACAACTACACACACCCTCCTCCTCCCAGCACGAGCTGAGAGGTCACAGGAAGGAGCAACAGACGACCGCTGCTGCTGCGAGCTTTTGCAGTGGTTTGACGCGAGAAAGTCTCGAACTCCCCGTGGGGCCACGCATGCATGCAATGGGGGCCAAGGCGTCTCGTGGATCAAAAGCCCTCGAGGGCCTTCCTTGTGTTAGTCCACCCTCTATACTGTCTGCCGAGGCCCATTCCTTGTTGTTTTGGCGGCCGTGGCCACTTCCTGCTGGCAGTGCCCCGTGTGGGTGCTTGTCTCTCCCTCTTCCCTCCCTCTTGATCACCCACCAGGGTGGCTTTTCCTGGGTCTTCTGCCTCTCTACTACACCTCCTCCCTCACCTGTGACGATGGTGACGGTTGGTAATGGCATTTGCACAGGATGCCAAACTCATTTTCCTTGGTGGGTGTCTGTCGGTCTGTCTGCATGTCTCCCGTCGGTTTCTTTCGCTACTCGTGTCTCCAGGCTAGGACGGGCTTTTTTTCGTTTTCGCGGGGCGTGTATTCACTGGTCGAGCCACGGAAAAGGGACACATAACCGCGGAAGTCCCGAAAACATAACACTTTTGTAATCGGTAGACGAGCCGAAAAGAGACCTTTTTCCCTTGCGATGCTGTGTCGGCATGGCGTGAATGGACAAAGACTCAGGTGATTTGAACCTGTGAATATCCCTACGCATCCAGCAGCAAGCGGCGTGTCGGGCAGGGCAACATCCATCCCCTCCTTGGATCTTTAGTCTGTCGGCCTTCACCTCATCCTCTGCATCGGACGGGCGCCAATTCCACCCATCTTCCCTCATCCACGGTAATAGGAAGGCAGGCAGATCTCCACGGGAAGAGAGCAGACCATGGCACGTGAGGCAGGAGGCAAAGGCGAGTACTGAAGCGTGTGGTGGCTGCTAGCTCTCGTGCGTGTAGGGCTGAAGTTATGGTGGGCATCTCCGTTCGTGATGCTGCAGCAGCGGCGTCCTCTGCTCCTCCTGCCTCCGGCCGCAGCAGAGGCTGTCGAGAGTGAGGACTGAGGCACGGATGGATGTGTCATGAGGTGGGATAGTGATGTGTGAGTGACGTACACACAAGACATCCACCGTGTGTAGTGAATGCATGCCGGTAATTAACAAACGAGGACCCATCGTCGCACGAATGGTTCACGAGCGTATGTAAAGGGTCGTGTGGGCGAGAGGGATTGATCGATCATCAAGTACAAACCGATCCAGCCGACACACGATGAGGGACCTTGCATTCGATGCATGTCTCCATCCAGCGCAGCTCAATAACGAATATGAGGATGACCAATCGCATCACATCATATACGCAACCATTCACCACACCTTCACAAGGGAGGTCTGAGTCTCAGCTTACAAGAGAGACACGAAGGGCTGGTGGGATGCCATGAAGCCATACGTACCATACAGAGACATTCCGTCCGTCGAGAGGGAAAAATCACTGTCTTCTCTCTATCTCGTCAACACACCGTCGACCAGGCACAGAACGACAAGTCAATGAGTCACTCTCTCATTGCTTTCGTTCGGCCGTCCAAGACACACAAAGCGAGCATGGCCGCACCATGTCTCCTTTGTTGCCACTCTGCTTCATCGCATACGGAAGCTCACAAGA